TAGCTAATTGGCTAATTTGGCTAATATTAGTAATATTTTACCAATTGGCCAATTTTTGTAATGAACTACTTATAAATGGACATAGCTGGTAATTCCCCTATTAAATTTGGAGTCATTTTAGTGTTGAAGTTTATACAATGAACTAAATAACTTCAGCATCTTCTGCTGAAGTTTTTAAAAAAGTTTTATGACAAAACTAATGAATCCAGGACAAAAAAAAACTTCAGCTATTTTAGTGCTGAAGTTTTTACAAATGAACTAAATTACTTCAGCATCTTATCTAGGACAAAAAAACTTCAGCGTATTGCCTTTGCTACTTCAGGCCCGTCTATTAGAATGCTGAAGTTTTGCGTGATTGTCTTTGCTACTTCAGGCCCGTATGCTGAAATTACGCGAAAAAGTGGGTATGCTTGCAATTTTTTTTGCAAAGCAGGCACAAGTTAAAACGTGACCTAAAAAGCGGGTATAGATGCAAATCCTCCCTAAAATTATGAGTGGAGGCTAATTTTCCAAAAGAACAATTCCAAATTTCAATAGTGGCACCAAATAATCCTATTTGTACAAAATCTCCCGATGGAGTATACACTTTGATGGGCTAATGCATCTTATGCCAGCCCAACGTAATTACCGGAAATAGGCTTAGTTTGTGGGGTGAAATTAAAAAATAGTCAGATTTACGAGTGGTAATTGAAATATAGCCAAAGTTTCAAAAGTAATCGAAATTTAGCCACTTTTTATGTAAAGATAAATCTAAACAAAAACATTGTTCAAAATCCGAAAAATATTCCAGCATAATGTACTTGGGTTCGAATTTTTTACATGTGAACTTCTAGCATAATATACTGGAGTTCCAGCATAATTTACTGGAGTTCCATCATAATATGCTAGAAGTTCATACACAAGTGCTCCAGTCTCCAATATATTATGCCGGAACTTTCTGTGTGCTGGAGTTCCAGCATAATATGCTGGAAGTTCATACACATGTGCACCAATCTCCAGTATATTATGCTGGAACTTTCCGTATTACAGCAAAATAGTGGCTATTTTTCAATGACTTTGTAAACACTGACTATTTTTCAGTTAGCAGTCCGAAAATTGGCTAGCTCGTGCTATGTTCAATAGTTTGTGACTAGACAAATAACACAGACACTAATTAACCTGAAAGCCCGAATAAGTCAATTACTCAAGGACTCAAACCGTTGTTTTTCCTATAAGATTTGCCTTTTCTTGTGCACGAAGTGCAGAATAGCCACTTTTAAGCCTGCTATTTACAATATTTTCATAATTTATAATGTATTTAAAAATTAGCCAATTCACCCAAACTTCAGGACTAAGTATGCTGAATTTGGAAATTCAGGACTTAGTGTCCTGAATTTTTGAGCTCCTAATTTGGAATTCAGGACTAAGTGTCCTGAATTTATGAACCACTAATTTAAAATTCAGGACATAAGTTTCGAACTTCTGGATACAATTTTCGAATTTTTGGACACGGTGACCTGAAGTTTGAATTTTGAGGTTTAAACTCTAGGACGTCGTGTCCTGAAATTTGAGCAAAATTGGCTAATCTTTAAATACATTGTAAACTATGAGTATATTTTAAACATCATACTTAAAAGTGGCTACCTGGTGTCATTTCCACTTTTCTTGTTCGGAGAAAAAATGAGGTTTGTTTCTCTTGTTTCTGGTTGCTCGTAAAAGTAATAAAGCTTTAATGCGGGCATAAAAACATGCAATTAATTAAAATGTAAAACTTAATTGAGTTTAAAATTAAAATGTAAAAGTTAAAATAAAAAGTTAGAGAGAGAAGCAAGTGTATGAGAGTTTGGTCATAGATGTGTTGATTGAAAGACATCAAGTTCGTTTTTATTCAGTCTATAAAGATATTTTTAGCAAGAGTATTTGTCCTGAAAAAAATTAAAATACAGCTTCTGCTTTTGTTTACAAAGAAAAGCTTAATTTTTTTTTTTTTTTTACTTTTCACTATAACTGAAAAATAACTTCTGCCATTACTCAAAAGTATTTTTTTCATAAAAACTTGGTGAAACATTATAACTCTCCAAAATAAAAACTTTTCTTTTTTCTTTTAAAAAAAGCACTTGTAATATCTTAATAGCCTGGTCCGACAAGCTATATAATTCGTTCCGAAAGGAATTAGGCCATTAATTAGGGAGTACTTCAGATGTAGCCGCTCTCCGACGGCATTCCTTACTTACGGCATTAGGATCTATCCAGTTTGGCCGAGCTTCTAAAATCAGCTTAGTTTGAAAAGTATTTTTTACAAAAATACTTTTGGCGAGAAGTATTTTGTGTTTGACTAATTAATTTGAAAAACACTTCTGAGCAGCAATTAATGTTTGGCCAAGCTTTTAAAACGTGCCTCTACGTGTATTTTTCTCAAAAATGCTTTTTAAGAAAGTGATTATGGGGAGAAGTTACTTTTTTTGAAACTACTTCTGCTTCTCCTCAAAATTATTTTTTTTCCTCCAAACAGAGCAGAACACTTCAACTTTGAAAAAAGAAGTGCTTCTAGGTTAGAAGAAGCTTGGCCAAATAGGCTATAAATCCATGATGTACCCCTAGTTTAAGGGTTTCCCTAATATACTTGTAATACTTTGGTAAATGAAAATACTTAAGGGCATTTTTGTTCTGAAAATAATTAGATAGTACAGTTTTTGTTAGAATTGAGAGAAGAAGGAAAGAAACGTTGTTGAAAAACATTTCTTGTATATGCTATATTGAACTTTGTACAGGTATATATACAACAACTGGAATAGCAGACCCATTCCTATTTTTACACTTGTCCTACATTTATTAGCTAATCAATAACTGCATAACCAACTAGGAAAGGAATATTATTTACACTTATCCTAAATATTCACAATAGTATAAGAACCTTCTAGAAATAGCAGAGGATTTATTTTACACCTGTGAAGATCTTTAGCTAAATCTGACGATCAGGATTTAATCAATCAAAACATGAAATCAACGGTGGAGATGAAAAGGATATATAATTATCCTTTCCGACATTGTAAAGTCCGAAACCCTTCTTTCATTAATTTTGACTTTGTTTCAAATGCTCTCTTTGACTTCATGTCGTCTTCTTCATTTGAGCTTCGAGTTTTCTGCAACACACCATTATTTGTTTCATTCTTTGTAATCCTGATGCCAACATCTCCCCTCAAGTTGGAGGGTGGTGAAACAACCCCCAACTTGCCCAGAATTGAAGAATGGTTGGGCTCAGAAAGGGGCTTTGTGAAAAAGTCGGCAATTTGAGAAATTGAAGGGACAAAAGACAAGGAAATGAGGCTGGCGAGGTACTGCTGGCGAACAAAATAACAATCGAGGTCCACATGTTTGGTACGCTCGTGAAAGACGGCATTTTTTGCGATGTAAATGGTTGCCTGGCTGTCGGAGTGTAAAGGTACTGGAAGCGATGGAGAGATTGATAGATCTTGAAGGAGACGGACAAGCCAAGTAATTTCAGCCACCACATGGCGCATCAAACGGTACTCGGCTTCAGCCGATGAAAGATATATCAAAGATTGTTTCTTGGATTTCCAAGAGACGAAGAGCCTCCTAAAGTAATGAAGAAGCCGCTAATAGATCTTCGAGAATCAGGACATCGCCCCCAATCAGAGTCACAGAAGGCAACAAATTTGAATGAAGAACGGGGGGAAAGAAATATGCTCATTCCTGGGTCTTTAAGCAAATATCGCAAGCAATGTGAGGCAGCTTCAAAATGAGGAGTTCGTGGAGTCTGCATGTATTGGCTCAGATGTTAGACATCGAAGGAGAGATCTGGTCGGGTATGGGTGAGGAAATTCAGTTTTCCCAACAGTTTGCGATAAAGGGTAGGGTTTGTCAACAAAAGACCTTCGTCTGCTCGGAGCTTACAGCATGGATCAAGAGGTGAGGGGGCTGGTTTGGAGCCAATGCAGTCATATTCAGACAATAATTCTAAGGTGAACTTTCTTTGACTCCGAACCATACCTTGTGCCTTTCGTATAATTTCCAATCCCGGAAAATAGTATGATGTCCCTAAGTCTTTAATTTGAAACTCCGGATGGAGAAAAATTTTGAGTGAGGCAAGTTCTGTAGGATCATCACCGGTGAGCAGTATGTTATCTACGTAAACTGCAATAATAGAAGTTCTTCCATTTGAAATCTTGAAGAACAGTGAGTAGTCGTTGAGAGAATGTGAGTAACCCTTGAAGTTTAGGGCGGCTGTGAGTCGTGCATACCATTGTGAGGAGGCTTGTCGCAGCCCATATAATGATTTTTTAAGTTTGCAAACATGACTAGGAGAAGGAGGAATCATCCCAGCAGGGAACTTCATATAAACCTCCTCTTTTAGATCACCATGTAGGAAAGCGTTATTGTCAAGTGATCGAATGTCAAACATGAGTTTTAAATCTGAGGTCATATGTTATGTAGCACCAGAGTCCAAAATCCAAGCAACAGAATTTATAGAAACACTAACATAAGATTTGGAAGATGTTATACCAGCATAGTTGGCAGAGACTATGTCCTCACCACTCTGTTCTCCCTGATTCTCAACCTTGACATTCTGTAGCAACTGATAGAGGCTGTGGTATTGGTCTTGAGTCATTGGTGTTTCTCCTATGTTGGTTGGCTGGGTGATGTTAGCTTTAATAGTTTGAACAACATTGCTTTTTGCATTTGAGACAAACCTCTTAGATTTGGTAAATTTGAAATCACTGGGGAACCCAATAAGCCTGTAGCAATTGTCGATTGTGTGGTTCTGTTTCTTGTAGTAGGAGCAGTACTGGGAAACCTTCTTTCCATCAGAATAAGGTTTCTTATCACCATTGAATCTCTGTAACTCCATAGTGTTGCTTTGCAGCTAGAAAAGCACCTTCTCCTGGATGATTAGATGAGATTTGAACTTCTCTTTGCTTTTCATACCTAATTAGTAAAGAGTAAGCATGATTAATTGATGGTAAAGGAGAAAGCATGAGAAGGCCGCTCCTAGGTCCTGATTATGCATCATTCAACCCCATCAGGAATTGAATGAGCCTCCCATCATGGAGTGATTTAAATGTCTTGGTCTTTCCTCCACAAGTGTATTCACATGAACAATGTTGGTAATTATCTAAGCTGTCAAGCTCATCCCAGAGCCTTTTCAGCTTAGTATAGTAAGTACGGATGTCCATATTTCCTTGCATTGTCTGACTTATCTCCTTTTGCAGATGATGCAATTGAGGCCCATTGCTTTGACCATACCTTTCCTCAAGTTCTTCCCAGATCTCTTTGGCAGTTTTGGAGTAGAGTACACTCTCTGCTATTTCCTTAGAGAGAGTGTTGAGGACCCAATATATGACCATATCATTGTAGCGACACCAAGGCTTGAATGAATCAGAGGAGATCTTAGGTTGAAGGATGGTTCCATCTATGAAACCAACCTTGTTCTTAGCAGACAAGGCAATAAGGAATCTTCTTCTCCATCCTCCATAGCCTTTTCCATCGAAGGTTGAGTTCACCAAAAGCAAGCCTGGTGAATCAGACGGATGGAGGTAAAGAGGGTGAGTAGGATCTGTGATGGACATCACAGCATCATGTTGAGTATCAGCTGTGTCCTTTGAAGTTGAAGACTTGGTCACAGAAGAGTCTCCCATGGAAACTGTGAAGAATTATGAACTGAAGAGAAAAGAATAGAGAGAAGTGAAGAAGTCAGGAATTCAATCCTTAAGCTCTGATACCATGTTAGAATTGAGAGAAGAAGGAAAGAAACGTTGTTGAAAAACCTTTCTTGTATATGCTATATTGAACTTTGTACAAGTATATATACTGTAGACGCCCCCTTTTTCTAAAGCGAAATCGGGTTTACGACATTTGGGAAGACAACTCTATTCCCGTTTGGGAATTGGGTTTTTGGAATTGAAGAGTCGCCACCTAATGATTGAGTGCATTAGGACACTAAGAAGGGTTTTTGAGTTGGAAAACCAGAGTTCGGTTAAGGGCTAGAAATTATCTCAAGGGGAAGGTGTTAGGCACCCCTCAAGATCCACTAGTGTGGTTCCCGGCCATCTATGTTGTGACTTTAATGCAACTAGATACACAAAAGATTTTACACACAAGGGCTGCAAATATATACGTGACAAGTATGTGGGATTAAGGTCTAAATGATCTACAATTTGTTTAAAAGGGGGACTAAACGCAGAAAATTAATCAATATATTGAATAAACAAAGAAGAAAAATCTGGAAGAAAAGGCATAATGCAGTAAAATTAAGGAGGAGTTTTGAGTGGAAAAGACAGGATTTTATAGATATTAAACAAAGTTATATAAGAAAAGGGGTCCTAGGTTTATAAATCACATGGATCATCCACACAACACCGGTAGTCAATTGTATGCGTAGTGTTATCGTGTGATCATCATCTCCATGTCTACCCTTCCCACCCCGTTAAGGTATTAAGCGTGAAATAGTTTCGTTTACTTATTGCATGCTATTACCCATCCCACCTATCAGTCCTGGAGGCTTTTAGGACTACTAATCCTAAAGGGAAGAAGCTTGGCTTTTCAGAGGTTTAAAAAAGGTTAAAATACTAAGGCGTCAAACAAAACACATAAAAGCAGTTATGGGAGCACAAAACAATTAAGGTTCAGATAAACCTCCTTTAATCACAGAAAATCATGTAGTTTAGCACGTCTTACATGTACTGATTAGGTCAAAATTACGCTTAACGTTAGGCAGGCTAGTTCATTACATATTTTCAGGCAAGAAGTTCGCATTAGGCTCGCCTGGCTGCAACTTATCAAAGACCAGTGCAATTAATTAACTACATACTTGTTTGCCTACGTGATGGCCTATAGGCATGGCATCTACTGGTTTCAGGAATAAAGAAACAAACTGATTAAGAAAGTTGCCAGTTTTAACAGAATGATGCGAGTTCTGTAATTAGTGCTAATCTTAAAACGGGTGATTCAGATTTGATTGATAATTCCTATATGCATGCTTTCTAGCGTCGTTAATTTAATCACTTTTTATAGGCGTAGCGAAAGCGCAAAAATACTATAAGCATGGTATCTGAGTACTGTTAGTTTTTAACCCTATAAATAGGTTTGCCTAGTGAACAATGCATGCGTAGAGTCTGGATTTCTGGTTACTTATAGGCGTGGTATCCATATGGAGATGCAAAATTCCTATAGACATGGTATCTATATGGATGCATAAACCTATAGACATGATATCTATGTGGATGCATAAACCTATAGGCATGGTATCCACGTGGATGCATAAATGTACAAAGTTGTAGGCAAGATACATGAGTACAGAAATGTGGTAATTCCCTATGAGCATGATATCTACCCCTTTGCATGCATGGTTACCCTTCCCTTTTCACTAATCACCCCAGAGGTTATTACAAAATTTTATTACAGACCAAGATGAATCAAAAACTGGAAATAAAATTACAATCAGAACTCTTAAGCTGCATCCAAGGAGCCTAATTCAAACCCAAGGTCTAACAATATGATATAAGCCAACTGCCAGGATCAGGTTCCAAAGCCTTTCTCTTATCTGGGATGTGTCAAAGTTCCAAGGAATTTCAAGAACTCCAGGCAATGCTCACACCCAGATATCAGAACTGAATGAAAGTGCAGTGTGGAAGGGCCAGCCCTCCAATGTCCAAGTTCAGAGGGAGCTCAAGGTCCCCAGGCAAGGCTCATTGGAGGGGGGGGGGCAGAACTTAGAGTCTAGGAACAAGTGTAAGTGCAGTAGAGGGGGTTAGGAAGTGCCAAGGCAGGCTGGTGGTCATGCCCAGCCATATGGTAGGCTGGCACACCCCTGACCAGCCTGTCAGCCAACAATTAAGAGTAAAGACCTATTGAAGGTCAGACTATGGTCTGGACAGTGATTAGGACACTGCCAGACCAAAGTCTCAAACTCAGCAAACATATAAAGGGGAATGGGGATGGGAATTGAAAGAGTTTAGGACCCAAAGGGTCCAGTTCATGTCCATGGACAATAATATCAAGTATTTCCATGTTTTTGAACCATAACTCAGCCATATAAAGGGGATTAGGGTTTGGGATTCATATAAGAACAGAAACAACGAAAGTAAAACTTGCAAAAAGTTACAGCATGTAGACAGTAAACCCAACAAGGAATGGACTATAGAATAAACACATAGGGGGAGAGGCAGGAATTAAACATAAGAACATACCAGTTGCAGAAAAGTAAGCAAAGAAAAGCAGGATTCTTTCAAGCAAAGCCACAATCAGAGAAAGCCCTTTATGCTTGTGAGTTCAGAGAACTCGAGTGTTTGTGAAAAATCTAAGTGTATTTGAGAGTATTCAGTGAATGTAATCAGAATTGATCATGTTGAAAGTGTAGAAGGGCTTCCCCTTTTATAGTGCAGAGAAGCAAGTAGGAAAGGTAAGAAAACCTTTGAAAATCAATCTCAAATATTCTCCCTTCAGTCAAGGGATTTTACTTTCAAACGGGAGAATGTAAATAAGGAAAGGAAATTTGAGTAAAATATGTCATAGTAGCATAAGAAGGGAGAATATATAAGGTTTATTTAAGGAAAGCATTCAACAGTACTCGATTTGTAAAGAGAAAGGAAAGGGAATCAATCAGACAACTAACAAAATCAAAGTAAACAGGTTTGATTCGAATGAACCCAGTCAGGAATAGGTAGAGGAGGGCTCAAACAAAGAAAATCAGCAGCAATCAGTCGAGACCCCATCAAAAGAGTCCAAAATAAATCAAGTAGTTGTCAAAACCTTTTGAAAGAGGAGTTTCTCATATATAAAGCAAACAAATCAAACAGAAAGTCTAACATTGCAAGGTTTAGGATCATAAAACAAAAGAATACGAGTTCAGTCATAGATTCATAGTGCATCTGAAGGTCCAGGGTCCCAAAGTGAAACCCTAATCCAGTTTATCAAAGAAACCCCCCAAATTCTAAGGTTTCAAATCGAATCAAACACAGAAACGAGAAGGCAAGTGAACAGACTCAAGGAGTCTCATGAGAAACAAACAGACCATGATAGCAGGTTTGAAACAATCAGAGAAAGAAAATCGATTTGAGAGCATAAAAGGACACGTTTTGGAAACTCGGAACTTAGACAAGTCCAGAATAGACGAAACATGCTTAACAAGAACACAAACAGAGTTCAGAAAAGCAAAAGTCAAGAAACTCAGTAGTAAACACACATGGTAGAAGAGTGAGGAAAACTTAACACAGATTAATCATGTGAGCACACATATAAAAGAAAAGAAGGACAATACATGCGTAATAGAGAAGGAAAATATACGAGCATAATACAGACAGACATCTAAAAGAAAAGAACAGCAAGAATCAAAAGACTTTCAGAAACCCTAATTTGAAATCAAACGATTTTTGAAAAGGAAATTTGGGGAAAACACTCAAAACGTCAAGAAGAACATAGACATAGCACAGATCTAAACAAATAACGGTGAAAGAACCTCGAATGGCTTAGGGTTTCAGAGAAACCCTAGAAGCGAGAAAGGCTTGGAAGAACAAGATCAGATCCTGAGTCGAAACGGTCAGGAATCAAGCTTCCAGTGCTTGAACATGCCGGAGCGTGGTCGGAAAACCATAGATCTACGGATCTGAGATGGATATGAAAAGAGACCATCGAGGTCAAGCCTCCAAACCTTGAGTAGCTTAGGCTCAGGGGTGATAAAGGGTGAGCACAGGCCATCCATGGCTGGAGACGCCATGGATTCCGGTGGGAATGAGGTGAGATAAGGCGGGAGGTGATTAGGGTTTAGGAGAGGTTAGAGAGCATTTCAGAGATGAGGGGTTTCAAGGGCGGCGCCTTTGTGCAAATGACCTAGGGTTAGAGGGGTTGGGTGATTAAAAAAAGAAAGGAAGGATATTGGCCGTTGATCAAAATGATTAACGGCTCAGATTTAAAAGAAAGTCGGGCGGGTTTGAGAACGGGTCGTGGGTTGGGTATTTTAGGAATTGGGTCGTTTAATTTGGGGGCAGAATTGGGCCAGATTAAGGCTACAATTGAAAGGGGGGAAGGGCTTTTGTTGAAATAGAAATAGGCTAAGTGTTAAATAGCCAATTTTCCCCTTTTTATTTTATAAAAATAATAATAATGATTTCAAAAGCAAATTAAAAATATTGGGCCAACAAATACTATATAAATATTAATTTAAAAAATACTGGAAATAATTTTTGTAGCTATAAAATGCTATCAACCGTAAAATAGGCTATAATTGCAATTACACGCACTTTAGCTTTAAAAATATACCAAATAAATTTGTAAAAATGTACAAAAATCACCTTATTTATATTTTGGTGTAAATATGAGAATGAAATAAGTTATTCACCAAAAAAGTGATAATTTGGGGAATAATTATTGGATTTTGTGGTATTAAAATAGGCAATAAATTGGTTTAAAAATCATTTAAATTTTGGAAAAAGTACCAAAACTTGGGTATGCTCATATATGCATATATATGTTATTTTGAAAAAATATCTAGGAAAAAATTGGGTATCAACAGCTGCCCCTCTTTACCCGGGAAGGATGAAAGAGTTATCGGGTAAAGATAGGATGGCCAATTTTGACCGAAAGAGGTGATTTTGCAAAGAATTTCGATCGAGCTCTGGCTCTTGAGCTGCCTACATATCCC